AAAAAAAAAAAAGGGGCTGGGGATTTAGCTCAGTGGTTTCGTTGCCTGCCTCGCAAGTGCAAGGTCCCAAGTTCGAGCTCCGAGCTCCGGTATCAAAAAACCCCAAAAAACAAACAACCCCACAAAAAACCTAGGCATAGGGGCACATGCCTATAATCCCAGCACTCTGGGAAGCTGAGGCAGGAGGATCAAAAGTTTGAACCCAGCCTGGGCAACTTTTGTGACTTAGTAAGACCCTGTCTCAAAAAATAAAAAGGATTGGGGATGTAGCTCAGTATGAAGGCCCTGAGTTTGATCCCCAGTTACACACACACATTTAGTGTTTTCCTTGTGGCTCTTTACTCAGAGCCTTCATCTTATCTCTAAGTTGGGAATAATGACAGCTACTCAGTCATTCATATCCCAGGTCCTCTGTAAGAACCTGGCTCTTGGGAAAGTGAGAGCTTCCACCATAAGTTAGACTCGATTGCTGCCCTTAGGGGACACCCAGGGCTTAGGGGCGAAGGAAGAAAGCAAACCTGTGTTTGCTGAGGACCGGTGCAAGGTGGGGTCTGTCTGTCTGTGCATTGTGGAGCTGGTCAGTCCGGGTCCTGCCCTGAGGGTTTTCAGGCCTTGGGAGACAGCTGTTCCGAGCCTAAGGCTCAGGTGTGCTTGGCACTGGGCAGGAACCTCATGAGGGAGGTGGTGACTGTTGGCTGGACAGAATTTGGCCATGCACCTCCGCTGTGAGTCTGACAGGGACATGAGCCCCATATCCCTAGACCATGCCCTTTTGAAAGAGAAGTTAGAAGTGCTGACTTTCATGTGAAATCTCCTGATTTTAACGCATTTCTAACTAACCCAGATTAGAGAAGAGTGCTGGGCAAGCTGAAGTGCACACATCTGCCCAAGGGGCCTGGTTCCCAGCCTCTGTACTGTAAGTCGGGTGGGTGAGAACCTGAGGACTGGGCCTTGGAAGCAGGAGGGTGGTGGCTGGACATGACTTCAGAGAGGTGAGGACATCGGATCTGGGATGGGGAAGGATGAGTAAGTGTCCCAGGAGGTTGGGGGAGGCATTCTTGGCAATGGGAACTCCACCAGCAAAGGCCTAGATGCTTGACCATGATGGGTGACGTGCTGTGCAAGGCTGTGGATTACAGAAAAGGGCTGGTGATTATGACATCAGCAAGGACCGGGCAGTAAGGGCCACTGAGACCCCAGCTCCAGCTGTCCTAGGTGGGCCCAGGGGGCTTGGAAGCCCCAGTCTTTACCCCCTTGAGCCGCAGGAGCTCTGGAATGCAGGCGGGGTAGAAAGGCTTGAGTGGCTGGCTGTGGGCCGCTGAGTGGGTGGCAGGGAAGCTGTAAAGAGGCCCCCTAGCCAGCAAGCTGGGTGGTCAGCACTTTGTTTTCAAAGCAGTGGCTCTCCCCTACCAGGATATTGGCTTTCTCTGGGGTCTGGGGCTGTTTCACCCACTCTCTGGCCTGGGTTTTGCCAAAGCCTTATCCCACTCCACCCGGGAAGGCCTTGGCCTCCTCCGGAGATGGGATTCTTCAGATGTGTGGCGAGAGGAGGCATCAGTGGCAGCTGGCAGCCTCGCCTTCACCCCAGCCCTCACCTCAGGCCCCACTCTCCCTCCCTGAAATCAGTGTGCTCAACCCTGCCTTCTAGAGAGATGAGCTCCAAAGTTCATTGTGGAAGAAGTTACTGTCCGTATTGAGAAGTGTTATGAGTTCATTAAATAAGCAACAGGGCTGCGTGAGGACAGCAGCAGACAGCTCCTCAGTGCGTGTGCCAGGTGTGTGGCGGAGCTTTTTATACAGCAGCTCATTCAACTTTCACAACCTTGGGAAGTGTGTAAAATTGTCCTGTTTTACAAAGTGGGAAACTGAGGCACTGAGAAGTCAAGTAACTTTTCAAGATTACAGAGCTTCTGGGTGGCAGAGCCTGGGTTTGAATGGAAGCCACCTGAGTCCAGTCTGCACGGATAACAGGCAGGTTCCGTTACTCTAGGCCAGGGGTAGCCAACCTATGGCATGGGTATTATAGTATTTTTCTTGTAAGACAAAAGATGTTAATGGATGAGTTGTTTAATTCTAAACTAAAACTTCAGTATTGAGGTTGAATTGCAGTGTTGGCACTTTGCAGTAAATAAGTGAGTTTGGGATTGCAGTTTGGGCACTTGGTCTCTGAAAGGTTTGCCATCACTGCTGTAGGACTTCTGGTCCAATCTGTCATGCCTAGGTTTGGGGGATAGGGTCTGGATTCCTTGACATTGGTACATTTCCCAGCATATGTGTGTGTGTGTGGCATGTGTGTGTATTTATGTGTGTGTCTGTGTGTGTGTGTATATATATATATATATTAGAGTTAATTTTTTTAGAGCAGTTTTAGGATCACAGAAAAACTGAAAGGAAAATACAGAGATTTCCATGTTATATATGTAACCCCCCCCCCCCCCCCCAACATCCCCACCCAAGTGTCCATCCCCATCTGTCGATGAAGCTGCATGGACGAATCATTATCATGCAGAGCCCATAGTTTACAGTTGGGCTCACTCAATACTCCGTTTTCACTGGGTTTGGAGAAGTGTTTAATGACACACACCCACCATTCGAGTATCATGTGGAGTAGTGTCACTCTTCTAAGCATCCTCTGGGCTCTGCCTGTTTATCTTTCTAGCCCCAGTGTCTGGCAGCCATGTGCATGTTTTACTGTGCATATTTTTTATATCTGAAAACATCAGTCTCCCACAGGGGTCTCTGACCCTCAGATGCCTGGGACTGTCTGGATTGCATCATTTCCATGCTGAAAGGCTGTTAATGTGCGATACAGAGGGCCAGTGACTACAACTTTCAGGGACTCCTCCTCCAGCGTGGGCAGGGGACCATGGGGCATCCCTACCCCCCTCATCGTACTTCTGTCCTGGCCCCAGGTCAGTGGATGGGGCTTGGCCATGCCACAGGCAGCCCTTATCAGCAGTAAATAGGACACTTGCGAGTACTGGGCATAAACAGGAACAATCACTCCAGCCATCCTGACTCCTTCAGGACACCTGCCCTTCCCTGCCTTGCTCTCACCTAGAACACAGGGAGTCCCTGGAAAGCGTTGCTCACTCCCTTATCTCCAGGCCACAGCATGTACCATTCTCTCTATCCCTGCTCAGCCCTCCTCCTGCTAAGCTCAGGTGCCACTTCTTCCAGTGCCCCTCCCCCTCCAAAGGGGTTCAGTATCTAAACACCTCTCCCTTCCCCACGTGCCACACTCATTCCCTTTGCTCTGTAGATGCCTGCTGCCTTGGCCGCCTCTGGTCTCTCAGGGTGCTGGCACATAGTGAGGACTGCAGCGTAGAGTATCGGAGGTAAAAGAGCCCCCAGAGATCATCTAGCCAAGTCCACTGTAACAGATAGGAAAACCAGAGCAAGAAGAGGGCGTGCTCAGGTGTTATGCTGCGATGTCATGGCACAGCTAGGACCAAATCCAACTCCTTTCTTCATTTCATAAACAAAAAGCAGAAAATGAAAATCACCCAGAGATAATCACTTTTAACAGTTTTTATTTTCTTTTTCTTATTTAGTAAGTTTTTAGACTATGTATAAAAATGTTGAACAAAAATATGACCATACATGCAAACTGTTTTATAAATGTTTTCCACTTCAACAATATATGTGGTGAATGTCAGTAAATGTCCTTTTCCAACATAACTGTGAATGGCTACCCAGGCTACCCAGGATTGCATCATACACTTACATTATAATTTCTAAAGACACTTCTCCCCTTGTTGGGCATTTGTTACTATAAACTGCAATGGGATTCATATTCCTGTGGGGGCTATCTTTGCAATCACTATTTCTAGTATAAACTCCTAGAAGTGCACCTGTTGGCTGTCTAGCATGCTGTCATACAGTCTTGGGGCTGGGAGGGATGTCAGGGACATCACCTCCAACACCAACTGCCATATTTGTATTCCTTTGGTCCTGGTATGGGGAGCTCTCCTGCTAGCTCTCAGCAGCTGTGGCCCTTAGAATGCTGCCCATTGGATTGCTGGGAAATCTCACACTGTGGGTTTGACTCCTGTTTGAGTATATTCGGGGTTGCTGCTGGGGAACTGGGGCCTTTGTCAGTCTATGTAGGTCTCAGTTAGCTTTCCCCTGAGATAGGTGCAGGGGCTTGGTCTGGGCATGGGATGCAGGCTGCTGGAGGATGCTGGAATCCAGACTTCTGGCTGCCTCGGTGGACAGAGGCCCAGTGTTAGAAGCCTCCTCACCTGTCCCTCGGCAGCCCGGGATCCTTATGGGGGGTTTGGTGGCCTGGTGTCTGGTTACTGTGTGTACTTTGTGTGATGTGCCTCAGGGATGGGAGCCGAATGGCTGTATCTGGAGTAAGTGGTGGCAGCAGCCATTTCTGAGTGTTTCTTGTACCCATTTCCTCAGGCTCATTTACTCAGGTAACCCTTAGCCACAGCCCCAGGCAGGGTTACAGACGATCGCCCAGTGCAGGAAAGGTACAGCGGGCCAAGGCACAGGTGCCTTAAAGCCCTGGGCTGGGATCCTGTCCTGGCTGCTTCTGCTGGAGTCTCACTCTTTTCCTTTGTTGGATGGGGCTGCTGGGGAGAGAGATGTGGGCAGGGAAGAGCAGGATGTGGTGTTTAAAATTCCACCTCTTGCTCGCAGGCCTCGCAAATGTTTAGAGTCATACTTTACCTTTCTTGCTTCTCGAATTTTCTTGGTCTCTGATAATAATGAAAATAAGAAGCACCATTGTAGATACTGTACATTAGGTACTGGTCTAAGAGATTTATACTTATTATTGGACTTGATCCTTCAACCCCTCATCAGGTGGGTACTATTTACTGTCTGCCCCATTTCGTGCTGACACTGAGGCTCAGAGAGATTAAAGAGCTTGGTTGCCTCAACATGATGCCATGAGGTCAGGCGTCAGTCCTTGAACTCAGGCATGCCTACTGTATTTCTGCTGTCTGCTGCCTCTGAAGCCCACACTGACTCTGGTGTTCTCTCCACAGCCCCGTGGCCCTCCTGTGTGAGTGGCATGCCGTACCCTTGGGCTGGCCCTGTGTCCTCTGGCCTGCTGCCCCACCCCCCCAGGAGGCCCTGACGCCCTGGGGCACTTCTGCTCTGCGCAGGACCACGTGGGGGTTTGCCATGGTGACATAAAGGGGCGCAGAGGAAGGAAGGAGCAAGACCAGCCTGCAGACTGTGCCCCCGGCAGGGAGGAAGGCCGGGGCAGACCCTCCACTCCCACTGCCCACTGAGGGCTTCGCTTCCTAAGCCTCTGTGAATTTCTTGGTCAGTGGACAACTCTCGAGTCTCCTGTGTGGGGCCTTGGGGTGGTCAGGGCAGGCCGGGCCTCCGGTGGCTGAGGTCTTGGGGGCCAGGATGCCTACCCTGGCGTGCCTCCGGAGGCTGTGTCGGCATGTGTCCCCACAGGCTGTCCTGTTTCTGCTGTTCGTCTTCTGCCTGTTCAGTGTTTTCGTCTCGGCCTACTACCTGTATGGCTGGAAGCGGGGCCTGGAGCCCTCGGTGGATGCCCCTGAGTCTGACTGTGGGGACCCGCCACCTGTGGCCCCCAGCCGCCTGCTGCCGCTGAAGCCTGTGCAGGTGGTTACCCCCTCCCGCACAGACCCGCTGGTCCTGGTGTTTGTGGAGAGCCTCTACTCGCAGCTGGGCCAGGAGGTAGTGGCTATCCTGGAGTCCAGCCGCTTCAAGTACCGCACAGAGATCGCACCCGGCAAGGGGGACATGCCCACACTCACTGACAAGGGCCGTGGCCGCTTTGCCCTCATCATCTACGAGAACATCCTCAAGTATGTCAACCTGGATGCCTGGAACCGTGAGCTGCTGGACAAGTACTGTGTGGCCTACGGTGTGGGCATCATTGGCTTCTTTAAGGTATGCAGGAAGGCATGTTCTGCTGGGGGCAGGGGTGTCCCCAAAACCTATCACAGTAGTCTTTCCAAGGGTGGAGGTGTGTCCCCATTTTACAGAGGAGCAAATTATATATCAGAGGTCCAATTAAATATCTAAGGCTGTGCAACCTTCTAAGTGCGGAGCTGAGATTTGAACCCAGATGTAGGTGATTTGGGCTCTCTGCCCCATGCTCTTTCCTCTTTCTGGTTGCAGTGGGGTGTAGAGTTCATCCACCTTCCAAACTAGAGCCATTTTGCATTGGGAGAGAGAGGAGAAAGAAATCACAGTGAACAGGTGGGGACCTGCTCTAGCCTCTGTGGGGCTCCCAGAACAATCAGGATTGGGGTCCCTGATGAAAGGGTGTCATGGGGGAATCTGTATTTGGGGAGCGGAGGTTAGGAGCAGTGGATGAGGAGTCCCAAGGCTGCGGTCAGGCAAGATGAAAGCAGGGACTCTAGTTGGGAGACTTTTAGTTTTTTGTTCAGCAAACATACAGTGAGCACTTACAGTGTGCTGGGTCCTGTGGTCGGCACTGGGGAACAGCGGGTACCAAAATGGACAAAGCCCTGCTCTCAGGGAGCTGACATTTGTGTGTATTAGGGTGGTTGATAGGCCCTGAACCTGTAAACACAGGATGCAGGGCCCTTACCATGTGTGGAGATCCATAAGTGCAGAAGGAAGCAGAGCAGGGATGGGCATGAGGGGAGTGGGAGCTTGGCACTATGTTTGATAGCCAGTCAGGGAAGTTATCGTTGATTAAACAACCTGAAGGAAGTGAGGGAAGGAGTGTCCTGGCTTTCTGTTCAGAGTCCTGCACTCAGAAGGGACAGGGAGTGCACAGGGCTGCGAGCTCTTGCTTGATGTGAGCAAGGAGGGAGGACTAGGAGAGTGTGCTTCCTGGCACATTGTGAGCGGTGCTGGGAGGCACTGGTCTAGGTGAAGGTTTCCACGACATGCTCTTTCACACGGTAATACAGCAGGAGGCTCTGCCTCTGAGAGGTATTGTGCGCTGAGAGACTGAAGCCTTCAGAAGTCCTGTGGTAGAGCAACCTGGTGGGATCTGTTCCCCACCTGGCTTGATCTCTTTCACAGAGCACCCTCTGGGGAGCACTGGCCTGGTTTATGGCTTTACAGAAGCATAAAGTCAGCCTCTCTCCATTGTCTAGTGTTTTTTTCTTTCCTCCTGGATTCTGTACCCTTTCCTGCCGTGAACCTCATTAAGTTTGGTTCAGAGCCCCAGGCCTGAAAACTGTCAGAATGACCGACATTTATTGAGAACTTGCTCAGTGTGTTGTGTAGTACCTACATGCTCTATGTGAATTAACTCACTTCACACTAATAAGCCAGTCTCTGGGCAGGTGGCAGCATCCTGATGTAAGAGAAAAGGAAACTGAGGCAGAGAGAGATGTCCTTTGAGTGGTCTCTAGGATTTGAGCCCAGGCAGCCTGACTCCAGAGGCCCTGGTCATAACCACTGTGTGGTGATCCTGAGCCTCTGCACATATTTAGTAGAAGTCTGCACCTCAGGCCACAGCAGAGGGACCAGGCAGAAGGTGGCAACGATGGAGGGGAGACCGTGGGCACAACTGGTATGAAAGCTTGGACCCTAGCTCTGCCAAAGGTAAATGTGAGGTCCAACGAGGGGTAGGGACGCGCCCCCGTGGGATCTTTGTCCCCCTCCTGCCCAGTTGCATAAGACAGCTCTCACCCCTTGGTGTCCAGCGGAGGCTTTTGTTTTCTCTGCTGAAGTCTGTGCCCCCCTGGTGGTTGGGGGCATCTTCGCTCTTCCTGCACAGTCAGCTTCAGTATGGAGCATTGCCCAGGACCAGGATGGCAGGGCTCTGGAGACTCTCAGCTTCCTTCCCCTTGCAGCAGCTGGATTCCCAGTGCAGTGTGGCTGTAGTGGCGTAACATCCCGGCCCTGGGTTAAATCCTCCTGACACTTAGAAGCAGAGTGAACTTAGACAGGATGCTTAATCCCTTTGTAAAGTGGCGCCAGTTACAGCTCTGCCTCCCTGAGCTGTGTTAGAGACAAAACAAGACAGTGTATGGGAAGCACTGAGCACAATGCCTGGATCCTGGGACCACTCTGTAAATGGCAGCTGGCAGGATTTTCTTTTGACCGGGTCTCAAAATGTAGCCTAGGCTGGCCTTGAATTTGTGGTGATCTTCCTGCCTCAGCTTCCAGAGTGCTGGGATTACAGGTGTGCACCACCATGGCTGCCTACTAGGACGTTTTATCATCCCCAAGTGCAGCAAAAGTGCTGGCAGCACTGTGTCAGTCTCAGGACACTTGTGCCCCTGTGAGGCCCTAGCGGGTAGGAATTGGGGCCTCCTCATCTACAGCCCCAGTTCCTGGCACTGTCATTCCTCAGCCTTCACCTCTAGGTGGCCTGGGTCTGAACACGCCCTGGCAGAGGTCTGTCGAGGCTCCCTGCCCTCTGCCTCTGAGCACTTGGGCTGTGCCAGACAACCAGCTCATTGCTCTGTGGCATTATCCTGTTTAATTTCCACAGTTACTTTGTGAAGTAGGGACGTGATTTTCTGATAAGGACCCAGTGCCCAAAAAGGCTTTACCAGAATGATGAGTCCCAGAGCTAAGATTTGACAACCAAGCTCGTTGCTACTAATCTAGCCATGGGAGACCGTGTAGGAAAGAGCATCGTGGCCCGTGGGGGACGAGGCCCAGAGGGGACCTGGTGGTCTGCACAGCATCTAGCCAGGCCTCAACTCCCCCGCCTGGCTCAGGGCTCTGCCTTCCTCTGTCTGGGTAACCCCATCGGAAGAGTTGGTACCTCCTGAGTGTCCTCACCCCCGCTCTGTTCACCTGGGCTCTCTGTCCCCTTCCCTGGCTGCTTCCTACCATTGCCGCCTGGGCTACCTCTCGTGACTTGGCATCCTCCCTTCCTCGATGTCTGGGCAGCTGTCCGAGCTGCAGCACCTGGCAGCCAGCTCAGGGTCGGGACTTTGAAATGGGATCCCTCTGCCCTCTTGGTCCAGTGTGGCTTCCCAGGCCTCAGCGGGTGATGGACAGGGCCTGAAGTGTCTCTGGCCCCCACACAGCCTGAGCATTTGCCACCCTTGGCCAGCGCTGACTCAGGCCGTGGGAGCCTGGCACTGGAGGGGCGGCCTCTGGGGCCTCATGTGTGCAGACTCTGATGGAGGCTCCTTATCGTGGTTCACAAGGCCAGGACCCTGCAGAGCCTTTGTGGGGGAGAATTATGAAAGCACCCTTCTGAGCAGGCGCGTCTTGGTGCTGGGGCACGGGCTCCGCTGTGACTTTACTCCCACCTCTGGCTCGGCAATGGGCCCTGGTACAGTGTTCCCTGGAGCAGCCCCCTGGTGTTCTGCACATGACCAGACCCCTGCTCAAACTCATTCTGTGCTCTTCATCCACTCTTGCTTTGACCCAACTCACTCATTCTCCATGTAGCAGTCCCATAGATCTTTTCAATGTGTAAATTGGAACCTGTCATCTGTGACGTCCCTTTGGTGGCGGCTTGCTGGCTTCCTGGTACCACCTCAAGCCTCCAGGGTCCTGTACGTCTTTCTTCCTCATCTTCTTTGCCTCTTGATTGCTCTTCTGGCTTCTTGCTGTTCTTTGATCATACTGAGTGCTCTCTTACCTCAGGGCCTTTGCACTTGCTATTTTGGGAACTTGGTCCCTACTTGTCCACTAGTTGAATACTCATTGTTAGCTCAGAAGTCCCCTTCTCCAGCAGGCCTCCTTAGCTAGCTGACTGTGTCCAGGAAGCTGCTGCTGCAGCTATGAACCTCTTCCGCATAGCATGATTTATGTTGAAGTTTTGTTTTTTCTTGTGGTTTCAGGAGATGTCTGTCTTCCCTGCTTGACTCTAAGGTTCATGAGGACAGGGGCCTCATCTACTTTTTGTCACTGTATGCACTGTATACTGTGCACACTTTTTTTCTCACTGTATTTTGCTGTACACTTTATATATTGCCCTGCACAATGAGTACAGTAGTTGTACAATGAACAGATGAAAAGCTCTCATGTGCCAGGTACTGGGCAGCTGTCTGTTTCTCTTTCTTTTTTAAATAAATCCAGTTGGTCATCAGACTTGAGGGCTGGAGATATAGCACACTGATAAAGTGCTTCCCTGGTGTGCACTAGGCCTTCAGCAATGCAAAGCAGAACAAACCAAAGGAATGAAAAATAAAACCAAAACTGCTTGTGGGCTCCACTGGGGTCAGGGCTCCTGAGCTCCAGAGGTGGAGACAGTGTATCCAGAGATGGAAACAAAATAACCCGTGTGCTCAGGGGCCACAGGTGGGTGGGAGAGACCCTGGGCAGATAGTCAGGGACTGAGGTGAGGGTGCAGCTGACTTTGAATGTGGTTGCTTGGAGGCCAGTGCAGAGAAGAGGCGGTATGTGTTGGGCTTTGAAGAATGAGCTGGAGTCTGCTGGCCAAGAAGACAGAGTGAAACTAGTACAGAGACAAGGACCAGTGGTACTAAAGAAGAGTGTAGTGGCTGGAAGGAGGCAGAGTGTGAAGCAGCAGGGGTGTGAGGAGGCAGGCAGAACTGGGGCCTACTGGGCGTCATCTGCAGGCCCCCAGGAGCAAAGCAGCAGGAGGCCCTGGAAAGAGGAGGGACTGGGTGGTTCTGGGAGCTGTAGTCCTGTGAGATAGTGGCCTCAGGTACTGGGGCAGTGCCTTTGCTCCCCACTCCAGAGTCACTTCCTCCTTGATGTTCTACACTGTATCCGTGCAAAACTTCTAAAGAGAGGGGTACAGGGGGAGTAGCTCTTTGAGGCAAGCCAAGCATGCGCAAGGCCTGGGTTTAATGCCTAGCAATGGGACACACAGATTTCTCTAGTAGAAAAGGTTGTGTGGCCAAAGCCTGTTTGGAAACCTCAGGCCACCAAGCATGGTGGTTGGGTGTGCAGACTCCAGGGCCAGACCTCCTGGCCTGAACATGACCCCCTGTGCTCTGGAGGGCACATTATGTCCCCTCTCCAAGCCCACCTGCACAGCGGGTCCCCAAGGCTGAGTTCAGGACTGGATGAGCACAGCTCATGCTCAGGCTCTGTGCTGAGCACTTTGCCGGTGTTAACTTCAGTCCTCTCCCGCCCTGGAGGTACATTGTGGTATTGGGCACGTTTTACAGCAGAGGCAGCTGAGGACCAAAGAAGTGAGATAACTCGCTGAAGACCAGGCAGCCTGGTAGTAGAGTCCATGCTCTCAACTGCTAGACTTTCCTCAGTGTGACCTAGCTTCTCCAAGCCTCAGTCTCCTTGTCTATAAAATGGGTGTGACAACATCTCCATCATGGGGTCATGAGGAGGATTAATGGCATTCCTGCATGCCAAGTATGTAAATCCACCACCCGCCTTGGCAAGGGAGTCCTGCACAGTCGCTGGTGCATTACTTAGAGGCAGGTGGGACAGGGACCAGGGTAAGCAAGTCCACCTCGAATGCTATGGTACTGGTATCAGTCCACAGCTGTGCTGTTACTGGTATCAGTCCACATCTGAGATCCCATTCCCCTCAGAGTTGTAGATCTCAGCACTGTTCCTCCTGTTCCCCGCCCAACTGCAGGCCAACGAGAACAGTCTGCTGAGTGCGCAACTCAAGGGCTTCCCGCTGTTCCTGCACTCAAACCTGGGCCTGAAGGACTGCAGCATCAACCCCAAGTCCCCGCTGCTCTATGTGACGCGGCCCAGTGAGGTGGAGAAGGGCGTGCTGCCCGGCGAGGACTGGACTGTGTTCCAGTCGAACCACTCCACCTATGAGCCGGTGCTGCTGGCCAAGACGCGCTCGTCTGAGTCCATCCCACACCTGGGCGCCGATGCCAGCCTACATGCCGCACTGCACGCCACTGTGGTGCAGGACCTGGGCCTCCATGACGGCATCCAGCGAGTGCTGTTTGGCAACAACCTCAACTTCTGGCTGCACAAGCTTGTCTTTGTGGATTCTGTGGCCTTCCTCACGGGGAAGCGCTTGTCATTGCCTTTGGACCGCTATATCTTGGTGGACATCGATGACATCTTTGTGGGCAAAGAGGGGACACGCATGAAGGTGGAGGACGTGAAGGTAAGGCGGGCCCGTGAGGGCTCCAACAATTCATGTATTCTGTTGTTGCTCTGCCTTCTGTGCATCACCCGTGTGCTGTTAGTTATTTATAGCATGGTCTTACCTGCCACCTTGGCCACTTAGTTTTTATAAATGGTCTTATTAGGAGCAAGTGTGATTTAAGTTGTGTGTGTCTGTGTGTGTTCAGTGCTGTGGATCAAGCTCAGGTCCTTTCACATGCTAGAAAAGTACAGTGCCACTGAACTACATCTCTAGACCTTTTTTCTTTTATTTTTTATATTTTGAATCAGGGAGCTGGGTGTGGTGGTGAATGCTTGTAATCGCAGCACTGTAGGAGGCTGAGGCAGGAGGATTACAAATTCAAGCCCAGCCTATGTACCTCAGAGACTTAGCAGGACCCTATCTCAAAAAAACAATTGAGACAGGGACTCACTTAGTTGCCCAGGCCAGCCTTGAACCTGTAATCTTCCTTCTGCATCAGCTTTCCTGGTAGCTGGGATTGCAGGCATGTGCTCCTGTACCTGGCTTATTTAAATTTTTGTTGAAATATTAAATATAAGGAATTTTACATCTGGGGCATGGAGTTTAAGTATATATCTATGGAGGGGGACACTCACTCACCTAAACCTAAAAGCGGAAACTGCCTTTTAATCTAGATATGATTTTTAACTCTTAAAAATGGTTATGTCAGTATCAGAGCACCTGCAGAATTTTAAAAACAAAAGCAAGAGTTTGAATCACATTTTGGGCATGTTTTAGCTGACGTTTCTATAGATGGTGTAATACATGTGTTGAATTTAAAAAGTATTTACCGAATAAAACTGTACGTAAAAGCACTTTGCAAACCACAAGATTTTACACACATGTAAATGAAGTATCGCCAAGAAAGAGAAGCTGCAAATGAAGACCACTGAGCAATCTTTAAAACACAGTTTCCATCTACTCATTATTATAAAGCTATTTGTGAAGGAGACAGCACCCTCATAGAATGGGAATCAGTATGGGTTGCCATGAACAGAGGGCAACCACAACAATAAATCCAATGAAAACAAAACAGGGGATTAAATTCTCCAGAGACACTGCAGCCTGCTGACCGGGTGTCCTCTCTTACAGGAGATTAGTGAGTGTTAGAAACATATTAGCACCAACCCAAGACTTCTCTTTGATGTATGCAGGCGGCTTTCAAAAGAGTATTATGGGAGGACTACTCTCCCTGGGCAGTGCAGCCCTGGGTTGTGGTGTTCTCTCTCCCCCGAGTCGAATCCTAATGTGACCCTGATCGACAGGGTGACCTGTGCAGGTCCCTTCCCACCACCGAGCTGCAGCTGTAAAATGACAAGATGGGGTGATGTGAGGATTTGGGGCTCTTTCCTGCACTCCAGGGGTTTCGCAGAGGGGTCCCTGGCTGGCTGGGGTCTGTCTAGGCAGGCAGGCTGCCCTCATAGCAGGCCCAGCCGGTGTAGCTATGATCTGCTTTTACACATCATGTTTCCTCCTGAAATTGCATTCCCTCACAGGTTCGCCTATTGAAAGAAAATATTGAAATGCTTTCTATCAGGACACCCATCTAAGCAACTTGGAGCTGTGACTGACTTCTAGCAGAGTAGATTGCTTATTTCTTGCTTAAGACGCTCCTCTGGCCGCCCAGCCGTGCTCTGTCTGGCTGGGACCAGACCCTTGCTGCCTGTGCAGGTGGAGGCTCTGCGAGACTTGGTCCAGGCTGAGCCCACAAGGACGCCACTGTGTCTGCTGTGAGCCCTGGAGTGCCTGATTCGGTTTCTTCTTTTCCGCATTTCTAAACTAGAGGCTTGTTAAGAGCCCTGCTTCTGTAGAGGAAACACATCGGGCGCCCTCTTCTGTGCACTCGGCTCAGTGCAGCTTTCGAAGCTCTGCCCAAGTCCCTTACCCTCCTTGTCAGAAAGGATGGAGGGTTTTCCTCTTTAATCCCAAGCACTGACCACAACTGCGCTCTTGTGTTAGGGACGTGCATGTCGCCTCCTTAGCTTGTGCAGTGCTGTGTGTGCAACAGGTTGATGTAACACCTGCAGAAGCTGCTGTTTAGGGCCTGTTGAGTGCCAGCCGTGCTCAGTGCTCCCCGCATCCTCATTGGGTTCTCATTGCAGCCTGGTAAGGTAGATATCATCATGAATCCCATTTTACAGAGGAAGGGCCTGAGGTCAACTTGCCCAAGGCCATATCACTGGAGCACACAGGTTTGCTGGGCAGGGCTTGGCCTTGGTCATATGTGGTGACACAGCGCAGCCCTGGGAGGGTCAGGATGTTGAGTGTGCAACATGTCCTGAAAGTAGGTGGTTGCAGGTTCCCTAGCTGCCTGTGAATCATGGACTTGGGGTCCAGCTGCATGTTTGCCTCAACCGGGCCAGCGCCCTCCATGACTTGGCAAGTGATGGGTGTGGCACATGGGACAGCACGGTGCTGGGCCACAGCACATCCTTAGAAGAGTCATGGTCCCTTCACATCAGCCTTGTGTCCCACCAAGGAGGAGAAATCCTTTGAGTGAAGATGCTGGGCCCACAGTGGCAGTGACCGCAGATGTGACAGTAGCCACCATTTCTCATCCCTCAGCAAATGTCAGGCAGTGTTCCATGCAGTATCTCACACCATTCTCCCCAGAGCCCCTTCAGGGAGAGAGATATCACCTGCCCTATTTGACAGTTGAAGAAACTGAGGCCCAGAGAAATTATGAAGCTTTCGAGGACGCACAGCAGTACCCGCTGGAGTACAGGCCTTCTCATGCCATGGCCTGGTCTCCCAGGTGGGCAGGCGGCACCCTCCACGGTGCCGTGTGCTGCTATTGCCTTCTTGGTGTTCTTCATAACTTTTGAAGTAAGAGTCCTGCATTTTCTTTTCCTGTAGGGCTGGGGATGGAACCCAGGGCTTCACATGCCAGGCAAGACCTTTACCATAGAGTCACTCCCCAGCCCCACACATTTTCATTTTCCTCTGGGCCCTGCAAACTTTGTAACTGCCTCTGCTGATGTAGAATACTTCTTGGGCCCTCAGTGGGAGGAGCAGGAAGCTCGTGGCATCTCCTCATACCTCCCTTTCCCTTCTCCCTTTCCTAGGCGCTGTTTGACACACAAAACGAGCTACGCACACACATCCCAAACTTCACCTTCAACCTGGGCTACTCAGGGAAATTCTTCCACACAGGTAAGTGGCCCTGTTCCCCTTGTCTCTTGCCAGGCCTCCTTCGTACCCTCATCCTCAGGGTACTGTGCCATGAACGCAGCAGGGTGCTTGTTGGCCCACACTGGGCAGACTGACCCTTCTGTGCCCCAGAGCCAGTAGCTAACAAGAGCAGTCACCACCCCGGGGGAGCTAATTTGGGATAACAGCTCTTCCCCCTGCCTCTCAGTCTTAGATGGGGCATCTGCTCTCTTGTTTCCTCCTCACTCCTACCTTTTAATATTATTTGTTATTTTTCTGCTTATAAGAGAAATCAGTTGAATTTTAAGATCATTACAGAACTACGTGGCATAGAAAGTGAAAACTCCCAGTAACTGTACCTCCCCCAGGACAATAAGCTCCTGGGTTTGCTTAGCGTTGTGGGGGTGAGGGGGTGGGGTGAGGCTGAGGCTGGAGGTCACTTGGTTCACACTTTCCTTCCTCTTTGGGCTCTCTGCAGTTCCTCCCATGGCCCTTCCAGGACCAGACAATAGGGACTGCTGACTTGGTCATCGGCAGTGACCATTCCCTCATGCTTGGGCCACAGAGAGGACAGCCTTTTTTGAACTCTAGGTGAAACCAGCAATCAAGGTGGAGCAAATATGTGCAGTAGCCCCAAAGCCAAATAGGAGCGATGCTGGTTGTCTCTCTGCATCATTGCTGTATCCTTAACCCATAGCATACTCGGGCGGTTATAGTAATAAATGTAAGATGGAGGGTTAAGCATCTTGTACATACACAAAGAGCTTCTGCACACCAGTAGGTAAAAGACAGTAACCCAGTCTGGATCCTGGACTAGGATCATAGCAGGCACAGGAGGAGTACAGGAAACCCTTGAGATTGGTGTGCACCCTAACCAAGGGCTCAGAGAGGACAGTGTCTAGACCAAGGTCACTCAATAAACCAAGGGTGCATTCTAGACTGGAGCCCTGACTCTGGACAGGCTCTTGTTTCCTCCTACACTGGAGCTCAGATAACTCCCAGGCAGCTCCTGGGTGGGCCATGAGCATGCACTCCATCTCTGGCTGGGCCAGGGTACAGGGCCTCACTGGCCAGGCTGAGCGGTCTGTGTGTATTACAGGTACAGATGCCGAAGATGCTGGGGATGACCTGTTGCTGTCATATGTGAAGGAGTTCTGGTGGTTCCCCCACATGTGGAGCCACATGCAGCCCCACCTTTTCCACAACCAGTCTGTGCTGGCTGAGCAGATGGCTCTGAACAAGAAGTTCGCTGTCGTGAGTAAGATTCCCTATAGGACAGAGCCGGATGGGCCAGGGGCCTGGGTGGGGGGTCCGAGCTGCTGGCCTCTGGCCATTTTTGCAGTTCAGCAGCCCGACAGTGGCCAGGGGTGAGCTGCTTTTGTACCCTGTCTCCCGAAAGTCTCAAGACAATAGCCCCTCTTGTAGACAGGAAGCTGAGGCCCAGGAGGTCATACTAGGACTCAGACACAGAGCTTCATGTTTCCTGGACACGAGGTCTTACCTGGAGGCTGGGCTGGAAGGCCCCAGAAAGTGAGAAGAGGGGCTCAGTGGGAGGCTGGCGCTAGAGAGGCAAGCCTGGGTTCACCAGCCAATTCGAGGCGAGAGAGGCAGGAAAAGCCCTGTCCTTGTGCCTCACCATGGTGTGTGCATCCTCTGAGCTGGAGGGCACACACACTGGCCTGAGAGTTAGGAGACCTGGGTTCTAGTCCTGTCCCTGCCAGTCACTCAGTCTAAGATTTTGGGCCTCAACTTCCCCATCTGCACCGTGAGCGCTTGGACCCACTCCCCTGCTGTTGTAGACTCTGACTTTTCTCTTGTGTTCTACAAACGGGAAATAAGGCTCAAGGGGAAGAAGCTATGCTCACCCCAGCCTGGTTGTTCTCTCCCAGGAGCATGGCATCCCCACGGACATGGGGTACGCCGTGGCCCCCCACCACTCGGGCGTATACCCCGTGCATGTGCAGCTGTACGAGGCGTGGAAGCAGGTGTGGAGCATCCGCGTGACCAGCACGGAGGAGTACCCACACCTGAAGCCGGCCCGCTACCGCCGCGGCTTCATCCACAACGGCATCATGGCAAGTGGCCCAACAGCCGGTGCTGTCCCGGGGGTGGGTGGGGCAAGTTCTTCTGGCACTTCAGCCTCTGAGGATCTGGCCCGGGAAGGTGGTCCTCAGAAGGTGTTCCCTTCTGTGAGCTGGACCAGGGAGCAACATGTTTTAAAGGAGGCTCTGATGAAGACAGGGCAGGCCTTTGTTAGACTCATCTGCTCAACTGAAAGCTTCCCTTGAGCTTTTCACATGTCCCTTTTCTAGGCACCAGGCATGTAGAAGTGCACAGAACTAAGAAAGTTCTTGGCCTTGTAGGGCCGGGGATTTAGCTGAGTGGTTTCGCCGCCTGCTGGGTAAGTGCAAGGTCCCGAGTTCGATCCCTGGTACCAAAAAAAAAAAAAAAAACAAAGAAAGTTCTTGGCCTTGTAGACCTGACATTCAAGTGACAGGAGACAGACAATATACTTGAGAATGGGTAAACTGTGTCATGTCACATGGTGATAACTACTTTGGAGAGAATGAAGCAGGGAAGGGAGAGAGTGAGTCGGGTGGGCCTTTCTGGGATTAGCCACGCTGCTCTCTGTGAAGGGGCAATCAAGGCAGAGAAAACAGCAAGTGCAAAGGCCCATAGGCAGGTTTGTGCTGGGTGTGTTTGCAAACCAAGGAGGAGCCAGTGTGGCTGGAGAGGACTGAGTGAAGGACAGGTAGGAGAGGATGTCAGAGGCGTGATGGGCCAGATGGAAGGGTCACATTTTTTTGGTACTGGAGATCGAACTCAGGACCTTGCGCTTGTGAGGCAGGTGCCGGAACCACTGAGCTAAATCCCTGGCCCAGAAGGGTCACATCTTAAGAGGATTATCATCATTCCACCTGTTGTGTCGACTAGGCTGTAGGGTACAGAAGTGGGAGCAAGCAGGCTAGTTAGGAGGCTGTTGCAGTCTTCCAGAGGAGGGATGGTGCTGGCTTGGACCAGGGTGCAAAATTGGAATGTAATCATATGCTGGACTTATTAGAAGTTAGAACCAGGAGGACCTGTGACACATGGGAGTGTAGGGTGTGGAAGAAGGAGAGGAGTCAAAGATGACTCCACGGTTTTGGCCTGGAAGGATAAGTTGTTATCAGTCAAGATGGGTGTCTTAGTTACTTTCTCATTGCTGGGAAAAAATACTTGACACCTATAAGATGCAGGAGGAAAGATTTATTTCAGTCTATAGTCAGCTGGCTCCATGGCAGGGCAGCATGGCAGAGGAGAAACTGTCCATGGTGTGGCAGGCAGGAAGGTGAGCCTTCCTTCTTTTGCTTTTTATTCCATCCAGGCTACAAGCCTATTCATTGGTGCCACCCACACCCAGTGTGGGTCTTCTGTATTCAGTAAGTCCATCACCCACACCCAGAACTATGCTAAACCAATCAGTAAACTGATCCAGCATCACATACCTATAATCCAGTCACTCCCAAAGCCTCACCTTAAAGCCCATGAGGCTTTGGGGTGCATCTAGCTATAAGCCGTATCCCACCCACCCACCCACCCACTACTCCTCAGTACCAGGGACTCTGGGAAGAAGGTCCTGACAAGACAGGCCTGGCTGGGCTTCCCCAGAGCTTGGATTCCTGAGGGGAGACAGACAATAAACAGCTAAACGGTGCATGACCCTGAGTGCCCAGGCAAGGGTGTCATGATGAGGGCTTGCAGAGCTGCTTTAGGGGCCAAAGATCCTTGCTGCAAATGGTGCAAGTTTCCAGAAACAGTTTCCATGTCCCTCTGAAGCCTGCTCGTGTTGTGCGGAGAATAGTTGTGTCATATTAAACAGCAAGGGCCTGGGGTTTGCCAGGGTGGGGCAGATTTTGCTGCTGAGACTCTGGGGCCAGGGACTCCTTGGGTGGGGGCTGTGAGGCCGCCTAGGAGGCTGCCTTTCTGAGGAAATACCCAGGTCCTTCTTCTGAGGAAGAAACCGCCCACTGCTGTCCATTCCTGAGATGCCATAGCCCCTCTCCCCACCTCCCAGGTCCTCCCGAGGCAGACATGTGGCCTCTTCACACATACCATCTTCTACAACGAGTACCCTGGCGGCTCCAGTGAGCTGGACAAGATCATCAACGGAGGCGAGCTCTTCCTCACTGTGCTTCTCAACCCCGTGAGTTCTCTGCGGCATGCAGCTGGTCTGAGGAATGCCGCTGGGAGGCCTGGGTAGGGTGGCGAGACTGGCAGGAGGGTCTGGGAGTCAGGGGACCTGCCATCCCAAACCGGCAGTGTTCCTCCTCCACGAGATCTGGACTAAAGAACCAGAACTTGCTTTTTCTTTCTTTTTGTGCATGTTCTCTTTCCAGTCTTTGTGTATGCGTCTGTACATGTACACCCACATTCAACACATACATATATGACTTCTTGAGCTGCCTTTCCTTATCTGTAAACGGAAACAATTATCCATACTTTAATAATATTAGGTAAATGTCAAGTGGTTGTTATTATTTAGCTTTATGGGCTGAGTACTCCTTTCCTTACCCACACTCTTGCCCCCTCCAGGTCTAGAAAACAAAACACAAATAGCTCCTGCATCAACCAGCCTCTCAGAGTAGGGTTGTAATGTTTGGGCTCAGTTAGATCTGGTGCATCCTGATTGTGCTCAGGCCACGGCCACACAGCAAGTCTGTGATGACCCCAGTATATCTGACACTGGTCATTGGGAGGCCCTCAGACAGGGCTAGAAGGGTCCAAGGTGGGGGTGAGGGGCTCAGATGCTGACCCAACTGCTGCTTACCTCTCTCCCTTCCCTGGAGCAGATCAGCATCTTTATGACGCACCTGTCCAACTATGGGAATGACCGCCTGGGTCTGTACACCTTTAAGCACCTGGTGCGCTTCCTGCACTCCTGGACCAACCTGCGGCTCCAGACGCTGCCTCCAGTGCAACTGGCCCAGAAATACTTCCAGATCTTTTCTGAGGAGAAGGACCCCCTCTGGCAGGTAGGGAGAGTGCAGGCTGGCACCTTGCTGTGGGTATGGAATGCCCTCCATTCACAGGCATGCACTCTAGGCCTTGACTTTCACACCTCATGTACTCTCTCAAGTGGAAACTTGGGTGCCTGTTTGCATACTACACAGGCACACTTGCTCCTGTGCACGCACATATGCCCCTGTGCATACAGACACACACCTCTCCACACAGACCTACATGCATGCACACTTACATGCACTCCTGGAAAAATAGTGTTATCCCAGTACCCAGGAGGCTGAGGCAGGAGTAATCGTGAGTTAGGGCCTGTCTAGCTACATAGTGAGACCCTGTCTCAAAAGCAAAACAAGGACCAGGGATTTAGCTCAGTGGTTTCGCTGCCTGCTGTGCAAGCGCAAGGACCTGAGTTTGATCCCCGGTACCAAAAAAAAAAAAACAAAACAAAACAAAATGGAAAAGGACATAAAAGAACTGTGGTTGTCTCTTAGATAATGTCTTAGGCCCCTTTCACTCCAGCAGCTTCTGAGCCACTGGGAGGGAACTATTGGGAGAGTTTAGGGAGACAGTTCTCAGCAAAGTCTGCTCTTGGGAGCTGTTAAAAATTGGAAGCAGGAGCTGGAATCGGTGGTGTCTCATAGTTAAGACCAAGGGTCCACAAACGATGACTCATGGGCCAAATCCAGTCCGTGGTCTGTTTGTGTAAAGTTTTTTGGGCACATGGCCATGCATATTCCTGGAAGCAGCAGAAAGCCAACACAATCTAAAGGCTGCAATGTTTACTGAACATTTACCAAACTTTGTAGGAAAAGTTTTCTGACCCTTGGTCCAGACACTGTTTGTCTGATTCAGTTTAACAAGGGCTTGTGAGTGCCTAATATGTGCCAAGCACGCAGCTGGGCATTTTGCCAGGGTTGGTTGGAGACCTGGGACTAACCAGAAATGGTCCCTGTCTGTCACACTCAGTCTGGAGGATGGGATGTGACAAGGGCACATGGAGGTATTGTGTCTAGCAGTCAGGGCTAGAAGAGCTCAGTGTCCGAGTTCAGTGGAGCCCATTTGTTGAGTTCTGGGACCTCTCTCACATTCCTTCCACTGTTGTTTTAGGACCCCTGTGAGGACAAACGCCACAAAGACATCTGGTCCAAGGAGAAGACATGTGACCGCTTCCCAAAGCTCCTCATCATTGGCCCTCAGAAAACAGGCAGGTTTCTCCACCTTTGACCCAGCCCTTCTTATGCCCTGTTGTCTGTGGGATACTGGGGACCACCTAGCCATGGTCCCACTTCCCATTCCCCCTCTCAGAAGTAGGAGTAGAGTTGTTCGAAGAGGAATTGCCTATCAGTGTGGACGTGGGAAGAGAGTGGAGGGTGAGCATGGGATTCTTGTGTTTGTCTAATCACAGCCTCAGGGAGCTTTCCTTGTGTCCCCTGGTAGTCTGAGTGTAGGTAGAGAAGGAAGCTCAGATTAGTTGCTCTGCAAGTTCCAGTTGTGCCAGGCAAAACTGGTTCAATGCAAAGTGGACTGCAGTCCATTAATCATGCCTGCCAGAGGTGCAGGATGAAGAAGTAGTGGTGTGATTGCTAATGACTTGCCATCCACATGACACTGTGAGGCACAAATGGCTACTCCCATTTTACAGGCAAGAAACTCAAGGCTCATGGAAGTGACGTGGCTTCCCATAGCTTATTTAGCTAAGAAATGCCAGTTCTAGGTCTTGAGACTTGGTTTCTGTGACCCCAAAGCTGATTCTTAATCACCAGACTTTGCAGCCTTTTTCTTCTCGTCTGGATACTCTCATTGTAGCGTATAAACCAGAGTCACATCACAGGGAGTGAATGAGGACAGGGGGAACCAGAAGAAAAGAACGTGGAGCCAGTGTTCTTGGCTCTAGAATAGTTTCACATTAGCAGAGGGAGAGTTGGAGCCCCTTTCTCTTGGGCTGCTCCCAAGTACCAGAGTGGACAGAGGCCTAGAGCTGGAAAGGATCAGCAGAAGCCTCTAGCTGTGATATTCTGCAGAGACCACAGTCAGTTGGACATGATTGTCAGAGTGCAATGATGGAAAAGATTCTGAGGTCAAGTCCTATTTAGTGATGAAGAATGCTGTGATGTCTGAAGGGGTACAGGAGCTGTTGTGTCCATAGGCAAGGTCCATACTTACTATTTCTTTGTTGTACAAATGAGGAAGCTAAGACCCAGAGAAGGGAAAAGACTTTCCCAGGACCTCCCAGTGAATACCGGGGAGCCAGGCCCAGAACCCAAACTCCATCTTTTTGTTTGGGGGTGGGCTGTGGTCCTCAGTGCCTTCCCTCCTCCAGGCACCACGGCCCTCTACTTATTCCTGGGAATGCATCCGGACCTAAGCAGCAACTACCCCAGCTCAGAGACCTTTGAGGAGATCCAGTTTTTTAACGGCCACAACTATCACAAAGGCATCGACTGGTGAGTGGGCCTCTGTCCACAGTAGGACAGGAAGGCCATCATGGAGCCACACAGGGAGGTCACTGTGGACACAGAAGGAAGCAGCTGCTGCTTGCTCACACGCAGCTAAAGTTCCTGTAAACAGGGACAAGGAGCAGTGACCCTTGAATCATGCTGGGAGGATGTTGTCACAGACAGGGCACTCAGAGGAGAAGTCCTTCGCCCCTTTGCATTATTGCCCAGGTCACAGACTGCTGAAGTCGGAGTGTAGCCCCTCCCTCGCTTGCACAGAAGCATCTTGCCTCCTAGAGGAGGGGAGGGAGGATTCATGAGAGGTCCCAAGGTCTGCTGGTGACAGAGCAGGGCTGACATCCAAGTGTGCTGACTGAGAGCTGGCCCTTCCCACTGTGTGGCCAGCTGTGGAGACAGGATGTTCTTGTGTACTCTTCTGACGTGCTGGCTGGCCTTCAGGGCTCCTGGACAAGTGGTTACAGTCATGGCTTCCCACCAGAACCTTCCACAGTGGTTACTTCTAGTGTTAGGGGAGGCAGCATGCATGGTTTTACCCTCCAGTTTTTCAATTTGCATCTTTCCCTACTATTACCTTTTAAAATTTTGTATGTACACGTGTTAACATTATTTGTCATGGTTATGTTAACAGATTATCTAGGTGGAGGAAGTATGGGCTATTTAAAAAATATTTTTCTGTGTGCATTTCTCTTATTTACCTATCATTTCTCTACACATCTGTCTGTCTTGCCTGTGTATCTGTCCATCCATCCATCCTCTATTATCTCTGACATGTCTGGTCTCTTACCTAAAACATCTTGTGGCCAAAGAGATTGTTGGAAGCCAGTGCTTTCTGAATTTGGAAAGGTAAGGTAGTGCAAAGCCATGTACTTAACTTTTTCACCAGAGCCTGGGGCAGCACCTACCTGCAGTACATTAGCAGGTCTGTAGCAAAGTGTGTGAATATTTATTTATACCAGATAAGATAAAGAAGTTGAGCTTTGCACCAAATGGCTTTGTTATAAGCTTAGGAAGTAAAGCTTTTGCTTTTTGAGCTTTCTCAAGTTAGGTATTACAAACAAAAAAGATTTGAAAGAAGCAGACAGGACAATCCTTGGCCCCATACCCAAGATTCTGATTTTGTAGGGAGGCATAGGAACCTACCAAGTCCCTGGTGACTGTTAAAGGGTCCTGGTGACCAATGTGGAGAAACTCCATGTCACAGGACTTCATTAGGGTATGTTCTGCTTCCCATGGGCCCTCAAAGTTACATCCTGGCTTTATGTGAGTAGGTGGCCCAGGAGAGTCTGGACAGTTCATTTAGTTTTCGGAGCGGTCCTTAGTGTAGAGGTGGTCATCACTCGGGGGGGCGGTGTGAGACCTTGGTTTGGAAAGCTCTTCCCTTAGCACCCTGGGGAGGGGGCATCTGTGGCAGGAGGGGACCCTCCCCTTTGTCAGTGCAGATCTGGAGAGCACCATTGCCCGCAAGGAAAGCAAGCCTGCCCTCTAGAGGCAGCAGAGGGCGCTTCCCCGGCCAGGGTGGGGGGCTGGGGGATCGGAGAGCTGCTGAGCCCCGACGTGCCCCCTAGGGCAGAGATGAGCCTGCAGGTTTAGGTGCAGAGCATCAGACTGGTGGGATCTGAGGTTAGGCTGGAACACTACCACTCTTCTCCGTGCCCCACAACCCACACCACACCTCGAGTCTCAGATCCTCCTGACCCCACAGCCTCCACTGGAAAGGGACGAATTCGGCATAGGGAGTTGACCAAGTAGCTGTTCCCTCGAGTGCCGCTGGGGGGAGACCTGCTCTGGCTGGAACAGCTTGCCCTGCTTTCTGAGGAAGCGCAGCCCCTGCACCGTGTCCATGGCTCTGCCCCGCTGGGCATCGCCTGAGCGTCCTACTTTGGCCTCCCATAGGTACATGGAGTTCTTCCCCATCCCCTCCAACACCACCTCTGACTTCTACTTTGAGAAGAGCGCCAACTACTTTGATTCTGAAGTGGCGCCCCGGCGGGCAGCTGCCCTGTTGCCCAAGGCCAAGATTCTCACCATCCTCATTAACCCCGCGGACCGGGCCTATTCTTGGTACCAGGTGAGCAGGGGTGGGCTGAGGCCCTGAGTGCAGGATGCGGTCTCCGTCTGACACTCAGTCACTCAGCGATGCTAAGAAAACACCTGCTCAGGTGGCCCTGGGCCAGGTAACTGGAGTGAGGTGACAGGTGAGTCCTGCCACCCCAGCACGTCCATCCTGGCATGGATGCAGAATGCCAGCCACAGCTAACTGCTCAGCTCTAGCTTCATGTGGGGTCCCACCTGTGATCCTGGCACCCACAGGAGGTGGAGGCCAGGAGACCTTGGGGCAGCTTGGCCTAGGAATCTGGGCTCATGCTGATTTCCCCAAGGGCCACAGCATGGGTGGAAATGGGAACTTGGAGGAGGCCAGGACACAGGACCTGCTGTTCTGAGTAGGGGGCACCAACACCTGGCCCACTTGAGGGATGGATCTTTGTCCCTCCTTGAGGTAGATGAGCTAGAACTTCTGTTTCTGTGACCTGATTTAATTTCTTTTCTTTTTCTTTTGTTTCTTCTTGCTGTTTTGTGGGGGGGGGGTTGTTTTTCCTTTTTTTTTTTTTGTTTTTGAGACAGGGTCTTAAACTATGTAGTTCAGGCTGGCCTTCCAACTCACTAGTCCATGCTAGCCTTGAACTCTCGGTGATCCTCCTGCCTCACCCTCCATGGTGCCAGGATTACAGGTTTGCGCCACCATGCCTGGCCTAATTTAGTTTCTTCTGAGTGCTCCTTACTGTGCTCACAGGGATGCTGGCAGCCTGTTGTGGGTGCCTGGGGCCTGAGTCCCTTGTAGGGAGCAGGGAAAGGGGACGTTACTAGAACCTCTGCAGTAAGTCCTAGTCTCCTGCGAGCCACGGCAGCACACGATAAATTGCAGGAAAGGTAGAAAAATGAGACTACGAGAGGAAGCTGAGCTTTGAGTCTGATCAGTGTTGCTCTGGGCAGCAAAGATGAAAGCCCCCAGCTTACCGCACCTTTTATTCAGTACATGGGGAGAAACAAATGTAGCAAGTGGAATGGAGTTCAGTACTTCACATTGGGATAAACAAGGTGTAACAAAAGACTGGGGGTGGGCAGTGGAAATCTAAGAACAATGAGGAGCTATGCAGATGAAGATTTGGTTCCTCCCAGGGTGTCTCCCCCAGGTGTGGTCTTGTCCTGGATCACCAGATCCTTGAGGTCTCAGTTGTGAGGAGAGGCCAAAATGGAATTATGTCTTGGAATGCCATAGCTGGCCTATAGGCAGGAGAACTAGGCCTAATCAAATGGTTTTTTCCAGGGCTGGGGATTTAGCTTAGTGGTTCCACTGCCTGCCTTGCAAGCACAAGGTCCTGAGTTCAATCCCCAGTACCAAAAACAAAAACAAAAAAAATGGTTTTTCCCTAAAATTATGTAGCATTGCTCCTCACAGTCCCCCCCCCCCCCCTTTTTTGCGGTACTGGGGATTGAACTCAAGACCTCTGGACCTTGTACTTGTGAAGCAGGCACGGTGCCACTGAACTAAATCCCTGGCTCCGAGTCCCTCTTTTGCCTCCCAGCCCTCTCACGCCACACTGCAGAAGTGGTGCAGAAGTGGCCCTGGTGCCTAAGGCCAGGACCCTGACCACTCTTGTCAAGCCAGCAAGCCAGGCCTGCTCTTGGTGTCAGGGGACTCCTGGGTCTGAGTGCATGGTGGCTGGGACAGTACCACCCATCCTGGCTGGGAAGGCCTCTTCTATAGCTCACTGCCATCCTTTGAGACCCTGCACTTGGGTGCTGGGAAGGAAGCAGCCTTGGGAACTCAGTGTCCCCCGAAGTGCCAGCAACTACAGTCCTCCTTGCTCCTGTCCCTTGAGACCCTTCTCCTCCCAAGTCTGAGGGGGAGGCCTTCTCTTCCTCTTGTTCCCCAGGACTTTTGTTTATGTCCTAGTGTCCATTTCCCTTGTGGGCTTTGTCTCTGTAGAAAAACCCAGAACACTGCAGGGTGCCTCTCTTCACATTCTGCCACGTGTTCACCTCCTGCTTTTGTGGGAGACAGATAGGGGCTTCAAGCAGCTGTCAAGGCAGTCCCCTGGTCTATGCTGATGACAGTGCTCCTGGTTGGCCCCTTACTGCAGCTTCACAGCAGTTTCCTCTAAGGCAAAGGGTGTGTGTGTGTGTGTGTGTTCCTTTCACACCGATGAGAAGACCAGGACTCAGCAAGTTTCATGTGGTGGGCTTTTGAATCCGGGTCTTCTAACTTTAAGAGCTATTCTTTCTCCTTTCCATGATCAAGGTGGGTTAGGGAGATAAGAAAGGAGACCCATTCCTACCAGAGAACCCAGGAGGGAACTGGAAGGAGAGGAAGGGCAGCTGTCTGTCTTGGAAATGAGGTCCAGAGGATGAGGGCTTCCTGCCCTGGGCCGTGGTGGCCCTCAGTGGGGCCCAGGGGTCGGCCTGGGAGGGGCACCATATACCTCTTGGGCACATCCCCAGGCTCGGTATGATTTCTTTTTCCTGCGCTGGGGATCAAACCCAGGGCCTTCACACTGAGCTATATCTACAGTGCATTTTTAATTTAAGTTTTTTCCCTGAGTCACTAAATTGCCCAGGCTGGGCCTGAACGTGCGATCCTCCTTCCTCAGCCTCAGCCACCCAGAGCGGGATTATAGGCGTGCAGCACCATGCCTAGCCAGGAGCTGGACTCTGAGAATCCTGCAGCTGCTAATGGCCCACAGCATTACTTTTGGTGATTCAGACTCTGTATTTCTCCCTTTACAGTGTTTCCCAATCTGTCTGATTTCCATAAAGGACAATGCTCAGTTTGGGGGAAGTGACTCCTATTTTCTTTCTTTCTTTCTTTCTTTCTTTCTTTCTTTCTTTCTTTCTTTCTTTCTTTCTTTCTTTCTTTCTTTTTCTTCCTTCCTTCCTTCCTTCCTTCTTTCCTTTCCTTTCCTTTCTTTCCTTTCTTTCTTTCTGTTACTGGGGATCGAGCTCAGGACCTTGTACTTGCCAGGCAGGCACTGTGCTGCTGAGCTAAATCCCCAGCTCTCCTTTGTCATTTCTAAGACAGCCAAGCCCTGTTTCTAACAAAGAGACTGCAAACTTTAGAGTCGGGCCCAGGGAAGACGTTTGATGGAGTTTGGGAGAGTTGCTTTTTTTTTTTTTTTTTTTTTTTTAATTTAATATACAGAGAGAAAAAGAGGGAGAGAAAAATGAACAAGTCATCCCAAGTATGGATAAAACATTATTCCTAAGGCACGTGGCAGTCTTTGAAAACACAGAAGCTCTAGCCAACTTAAATTATTTGTTGTTTTTCCTCTCTCAGTCCACAAAACTATACAGGGACTCAAATGTTGTGTTGCATATAGATCTTCCAAGTAATTCCTCAGTGCACACCGCTGTGTTAGCTGGACGCGCAATTATTTTTTTCCTCTGTTTCCAGGCGAGATCCTAAATGTGGTTAGTTAGTTGCTCAAAGTCTCTCTTTTAAAATACCCTTGGAATTCAATTACAGATAATTTCTTTTTAAAAGAAATCGTGGGGCTGGGGGGTGGCGCAAGTCATTAGAAAAGGTTGGTGAGAGTCGTTTGTGAGGGGCTGTGGGGCTCGTGGCTCTCCAGGTTGCCAGGCACAGAAGTTAAGACGGACGTCACAGTTGGCAGGGTAGGGCTCGTCAAGTCTTTGAGCATGCTGGGTGTGCTGGAGGGCCTGAGTGAGGTGCTGGAGAGCTCCGAGGCAGGCCCCGAGGGCGTCCCAGTCTGCAGCACGCATCGCATCTGTCGTCTTGTCTTGTCAACACGCGTGTTTTCCTGCCGTAAGAGGTTGCGCCTGAACTTGGCCTGGGCGTTCTGAAACCAGACCTGGAGGACCCGCTTGGTGAGGCCTGTCTTTTGCGCGAGCTGTTTCAAGTCCTTGGCGTCAGGGTTGTGATTAATGGCAAAGTAAGACTTCATGGTCCGAAGCTGGTAGTGCTTGAAGGAGGTGCGCATGCGTTTCATCTTCTGGCTGCTCAAGTAGGGCTGGTCGCTGTCCAAGTGCTCCGTCCGTGTCGTCGTTCTCGTTGCAGCTCAGCGCAGCATTGTTGGCTGCCAGATCCCCGGCCCCCGCCTCCGGGCCGCGGCTCCTGCACTTCCTCGGCTGCCCCTTCTGCACAGTGCCCACGCCATTATAGTAGGGAAGCCCCAGCGGATTGGCCCCCGCTGCACCCAGCCTTGCACTCTTGGCTGCAGCGGCCGCAGCCATTGCCACGGCTGCTGCCACGTTGACATGGTTGAAGTGGGCAGGGTACTCACCCTGGAGCAGCGCCTTGACGTGCAAGCGGCAGTAGACCAGGCTGTCCTTCATGCCGAAGTGATCGCCCGTGGTCAGCATCTTGTTACACGTGGTGCATGTGAAGCAGTTGAGGTGATAAACCAAGTCCCGAGCACACATCACCATCTCCAAGGCTGAGATGCCCAGGTGGCAGCAGGCACATCGGTGAACAGAGAACCGCCTGTATTAGTCTTCCTTGTAGTAGATGCTGCTATCCTTGCTGAAACAGGTGAGCTCCGACTCCAGGTTGAGCTTGCACCCGCAGCACTTCAGGCAGCGCATGTGCCACTGCTTGTCCACAGCCAGCAGGTGGTAGCGGTCGGAGATCTTGCCCCTGCAGCCGGCACACAGCGCTGCATGGTCACTGCTGATGGATGGCATGGTCGTCTCCGTGTCACTGTGGTTGATGGCGGAGCTGATGGCAGGAGCCTCACTCTTGGCCCTGCGGTCCATCTCGTCTATGATCCTGTGCACCTCGGCCCCGACAGACTGTGGAACAGCATTGCGGCAGGACCGGCGGGGCCGGGGCTGCAGCTCCTCAGAGGAAGGGCTCGTCCCCTGCCTCAGCTGCCTGGAGCTCCCGGCGCTAACGGGCCAAGTGCATCGCCACCTTGGCCCTGCCCGAGCTCGGCTGCGCCCCCAGGCTGGGCTTCGGGCCCTGGGAGCCCGCCGGCCAGGACGCCTCCTGCCGAGTCATAGGGACAGCTACATCGGGGCACCTGGGCAGCAGTGCCAAAGCCAGGGTAATGAGGTATGGGGCGGGGGGGGTGGTGGTAGTCAGGAGACGAGGGCAGAGGTTGGCGCCCACTGCGGGCGCTTTCACGCGCCATCATCGCCCGGCTTTGGCACCCAGGGCGCAAAGCAGGGGCGCAAACTCTGCCCCAGGCAGCGATGGCTGCGGTCAGGGTTCACCCAGGAATGGCCAGGTGCTGGCTGTGCCTGGACCCCTCCTCTCCCTAGGGTGTGCCCCCAGCCCTAGGCGACCCTTTTGGGCACTGAGTCGGTGACTGGAGTAAGGGTTTCTCCGAAGCCAGCGAGCTGAGCCGAGCCACCCAAGTTGCTTATTTTTATTGCATTTATTGATGGTTATCTTCCATAACCATGATGATAGATGATTCTATTTATTCTATATATTTTTTTAAAATAGTTTTCTATTTGGGGAAATGTTGTCGAGTTTTCTCCACATGAATTGATGTGGAAAGAAAGGTGAGTTAGTGTGAGAGAAAGAAGATTGACATTGGCAGGTATCGGTCTGTGGTCAGGCAGGAACCTCAGCAAGGCTGTGTGAGTGACCAGTACTGGGAACCCTGGCCAGTCCGATTCCATCTTGCGGTAATGGGAACATTGGAGCTCTGGGGCCAGTGACCCCCTGAGGGCTGGCAGTAATTGGGGCTTGAGCCAGGACTGCGGCACAGGGCCAGGCTCTTCCTGGCTGCAGTCCCACTTCGCCTATTCCTTTGTGCTCTGTGTGACATGCCCACCTCTCCCCTTGCCCGCAGCACCAGCGTGCCCACGATGACCCCGTGGCCCTGAAGTACACCTTCCATGAGGTGATCACAGCTGGACCTGATGCATCCTCGAAGCTGCATGCCCTCCAGAGCCGTTGCCTGGTCCCTGGCTGGTATGCTGCCCACATCGAGCGCTGGCTCAGTGCCTTCCACGCCAACCAGGTAGGCCTGCCAGGCCCTGGGCGGGCACACTCAGCCTGAGGGGCTCAGAAGCCCCGGGTGGGCTTGGGGAGGCTGGGGCGTGGTGATGGGAGAACAAGGTGGAGAGAGCAGGGGCCAGATCCCGGGAGGTCTTCTGGAGAAACCCTTTGGAGTCTGGACCAGGGGTCAAGTGCAGGCTGGAAGCTCGGCGAGGGCTGGAACAGGGATATTGTGGATGACATAGGCTCAGGGAGTGAGACCACAGAAGATGGAGACTCGAGCCTGGACACTTGCTGTTCAGAGGTAGAACAGGAAGCTGACTCTGGAAAGCACCGGGCCCCACATTCGCATCCAGGCCCCTCCTGCTGCTGAGGCTGCTGCAGTGGCAGGTCCAGACAGGCTCTCTCCCTTTCCTTCTTTCCAGATTCTGGTCTTGGACGGCAAACTGCTGCGAACAGAACCTGCCAAAGTGATGGACACAGTGCAGAAATTCCTGGGGGTGACCAACACCATCGACTACCACAAAACCTTGGCGTAAGGATTGCACTGGCCTTCAACAGGGGAACTTCCCTGATCAGGCATCTGTGCCAAAAAAACAAAGGCTTGAACAACTGTGGGAGAAACAGTTACTTAGAGTCAGCAAGGGAAGTGAGGACAGCACTTCCCTCATGGCTGTTTGGTAGTAAAGGATTGGTTCCACAGTACTGGTTGCAAACTGAGTTGAACGAGAACAGAATCAAATTCAATGGTTTGATGTGGTTCTCATCCAATTCGGTTTGCAACCAGAATCATGGAGAGAACTGAGTTTGTGAACTGAGGTACCACTGTATTAATTTGGGTTAAGTCTTATTAGTAAAGATATCAACTAAGAAGACGGGAGGTAGCCTGGCACTGGTCCTGGCCTGTCATCCCAGCACTCTGAGAAGCTGAGGCAGGGAGATCACAGGTTTGAGCCCAGCCTGGGAAACTTACTGACTTAGTGAGATCCTCAAAGAGAGGAGGGGGAAAGAGGACTATTCCTTAGTGCAAAGGCTCCAGGTTTAATGCCCTATATTGCAAAAAAAAAGTGTGTGTGGAGGGGAGGTGTTGACAGATGAGTCTGTTTCTTGAATCAGCCCTCCCTGAAGTTCTTTTCAGTTCAGTTTAACCTGAGCTGCACATCTTCAGAGGTTTTTTTTTTAATGTAAGTCAGACCAGCAACGAGCAGCCCCCATTAACCAGAGGTATTCCTAGCATTAGACTTTGACTTAAAATATAATTTCAGGAGAAGGAAACTAGAAATATTTTGTCAGAGCTGGTGCAGGTGCGTTGGGGAGGCCTTCGGGGTGGGGGATAAGTGCCGGCCTGCATTCCAGGGGCTGGGTGCTGTGTTCAGACAAGGGGATGGGACGAACTCCGAGGGAGGAGGGGTCCCCAGAGAAGAGGAATCGAGTTGCCCTCTTTGCTGCTTTCCTGCAAAGCTTGCAGCAAGAATGTTCCCTCCTCACAGTGCTGGAAGCTGAAGGTAGAGAAAGGAGAGCAAAAAGGGGAAGGCAGAAAGGGACAAGAGGTGAAAATCCACCCCTTCCCCTCGAGCAGAAAAGGGCAGCATCACAGCTCAGGCTTCGATGTCAGATGCCTGGAGTCTGACCCCACATCCATCACTTAGCCCTGTGACATTGGATGATTCCCTGAGCTTGGGAGCTTCACTTTCCTCCTGTGTGAATTAGGGAAGAGGAGAATAATTCCCACTGCCTGGGTTCACTGAATTGGGTGACAGCACATGCGTGGAGCTCCTGGCTCAGTGCTCGGCATGTACTAAGTGCTAGTTACAGTAGCTGCTGTTGTTGTCTTCATCACCATCATCTGTGCCAACCCTGTGGCCCTTTCAGAAACCCCTGACTCCCTCACCTGCTCCGAGTACCCAGCACTTCCTGCTCGGGACTCTTACGGTGCCTATGCTGGGCCAAGTTCTGATGCTGGGGCCTCCTGTCCTAGGGCCCACTTCCAAACTCATCTCCCAAAAATGCCCTTGAAGGCAGCGTGGTGTTGTGCATGGAAGGCAGTCTTGCTCTGTCCTTTCTGAAGTTTACTCCAAAATACAAAACTTCCACACTGAAGTGCAGGTACAAATACCTTTGCATTTCTTGTTAAGATACAACTTATTAAAAAAGACCCCCCCCCCAACGCCTTCCCCCCCCACACCCTGTTGTCACTTGAAGTCAGCTTAATAAAGAAAGCTTTTTGGATTTTAAAAAAATGCAGCTCAGCACTGTGTTAGAAACTCTCCAGCAACAGCTTCCAGGTTCGCATGGATGGGCAGGTGTCCATGTTACAGATTTCGGGGAGTGGGGGGAATGCGGGTGGCTAGCTCGAGAAGACTCGGTATGTGTGGGAGCTGCCCTTGGCTGGCAGGAAGGGCAGGTGAGTTTAGTGTAGCCCAGGGGAAAAACTGGGCCAAGAAACAGCAAACAGCCCCACAGTCAGCGTGGGTTCTGGACGTGTGCAGAGTGGTGGGCTCCGGAGCTCCTGGGTGCTGCTGCTCCTGGACATAGCCTTGGTGGAGGGCGGCTAGGCGGGGTTGGCTCTCATCCACAGGTTTCCCCCACTGCCACAGGTTTGATCCAAAGAAAGGATTTTGGTGCCAGCTGCTTGAAGGAGGAAAAACCAAGTGTCTGGGCAAAAGCAAGGGCCGGAAATACCCAGAGATGGACCTGGACGTAAGTGGTGGATCCAGTGCCCGTGGCAGCTGGACGAGTGGGAGGGGCCAAGCATGGGGCAGAGCAGGCCAGCGTCCAGTACCCTGGCCCTTCACGGGGGGCTGTGCTGTGGGTTCTGAGGACGAAGCAGGTGTGTGCCCTGCATTTCGAACCCCTGGCCGGGGGAGATGAGCTGCCCCACAGGTGAGAGTGTGCCGCAGAGAGCATGGTGCAGCAAGGGGGCATGAGTGTCAAGACACTCAGCACAAGGTGGCCTCAGAGGCTGGAGGGACAAAGAAGCTTCTCTGAGGAGAGGCAAGGTCTCTGGAGTCAGGATTTGGACCAGTGGAATGGAAGGTTAGGCCATTCTTAGAGGACAGCCAGTCCAATAGCAGACAGGGAAGGTCACAGATGGCATCTTGTTATGTTTCCTGATTCTATTTGCCTCTGTTTTTTTTTTCTTAGACAGGGTCTTGCTGTGTAGTTCAGGCTGGCCTTGAGCTGACTATATAGCTCAGGAAGGCCTCAAACTTGCAGCAATCCTCCTGCCTCAGCCTCCTAAGTCCTGTGATCACAGGTATTCACCACGCCTGGCTTGCCTCTGGTTTTGATAAATGCACCTCTCTCTCTGTCACAAGAGTTTTGACCTTGTGAGCTCTATTTTGGTGCTCTGCCTATACAGGAGTTTTCTTTGGAGGCTATTCTTTAGGAGAGGATTCTGAATAAATAAGTAGTACATGGCACAGTGCCAGCAGAATGGCCCTGTTAGAGGGGCCAGCAGCTGGGGCCTCCTGTCCCCTGACCTGTCCTTTCTTCCTGTTGCAGTCCCGAGCCTTCCTGAAGGACTACTACCGGGACCACAATGTTGAGCTTTCCAAGCTGCTGTACAAGATGGGCCAGACGTTGCCTACCTGGCTGCGGGAGGACCTCCAGAACACCAGGTAGCCATGGCCACCACTGCCAGACTGAACTCTTGTGACAGCAGGGATGTCCCGCCATGTGCTGAGCCAGACTGACCTGCGGAGAGGGAGTGGGCCGGGCTGGCCAGGCACTTACGAGCAATACTCTGCTGAGGCCCATGCAGGGCCGGAAGAAGTGAGGCAGGTCCACAAGCGCCTCAGAGCCTCCACTGCTGGGTCTGTGGCCTACTGGATCTCCCCAGCACCAGAGGTCCACTCCGTTCACAGCCTCCCGGGCAAAGGCCACTTCCTGTTGGTGGAAGGCCACTTCTTGGTGGGAGGGAGTCCACGAGACTCTTTCCTGTCCCTCACTGTGTTCTACCAACCACACCCTCTTTTTCATCCCCTTCCCTGCTCTAGCAGGGTATCCCCTCAGTATTAGCTGCCATATTTTCCCTGTCCTCCAGACAGTAAGGGAGAAGAGCCCAGCTGGGTCTTTTGCCAAACCAGGGAGAAAGACTGGACATTTCCCTGAGTGTTTTGAGCCAAGGCCTTCACAGGAGTCAGCTGGGTGCCAGGGGTGGTCCTTAGGTGGACATGAGGGTGGCCACCTTGAGAGAACGCTGCACCTCCATGTTTGGTTTAATACCTTCCCATCTCACCTTCCCTTTTGGGGAAAGAATCTCTGGTCCCAAGTTTCTACCCAGTCCTCAAGGCCTCTTCCAAGGCCAGGGGCACTGCCATGCCATTTGGGTGCAGAGACTCAGGCCTTGGTCTCACCCCGGTCCTTCCCTGGGGTGTGACATGTGTGGTGTTTCCTGTGGTAAAGGGCTGAGGTGGGTCAGGAATCTGTAGTACATATGTCCCATGTGCATCCATCACCCTACCCACCGCCTCGGCGGCAGACACGCAGAGCTGCTGAGACTGCCACCTGCTGCTCGGCCCACCGGACCTGCGGCCGAAGGTTCCCAGAGACCCCTTAACCTCTCAAATACTAAGAAGCTAAAGTATTTTAATATTTTTTTTTTCTTGGTGCCAGAGTTCATACCCTGGGTGCTGGGGTCGCACTGTGTTACATATATATATATATATATATAATGTGTATATATATATATTCTATTTTTTTGGTTGGGTTTGTTTTTAATTCAGTCTTATACAATGGTGGTAAGCCCCAGGATCAAGGACGTCATATCTTAGTGCTAGAGAATGAGCTCTGAGGGAAGGAGGCTATGTCTTCCATGTTTCTGGGCCTCGTGGAGACAGCATGGGTGTGCCCAGGGAGAGAGGTCTCTGTTCCCTCTCCCAAGTGCCACAGCTGTCTGGGGCCACCCCAGGGAAACAGGCAGTGACACATACAGGGAAGACCAGCCCTCTCCAAGAAGTCTGGCTTCATGGGGCCCAGTGGCCCTGGGGGAATTTGGGCCAAAGGAAGTAGCTGGGGCTAGGGTGGAGGAGCTGGTCCAGCTGGCCTGTCCCTCTCCCCTCACATGGTGCTAGGTTGGGGGCTGCCCTGGGAGTGGGGTGCCCCTGGGACCCACAGAGCTGTCTCCAGACCTTTGCAGACTTGGGACCTCTCAACTAGTTTCTGCTTGGTTTTTGCTCCTGCCCTCTTTTAACAATGTGAAGTGTCTGAGGCTGGGGTGCCTCCCAGCCCCCCTCAACTGCCAATTCAGCTTCCACCTGACACCCGGGAAATTCTTTTGGAGAGCCTATCTTGTTCCGGAGACTCTGGCATCTTGGGTTGGATGATCCTTCAACAGGTACAAAGCAGGTCCAGCGGGGAGGGCCCTGCTTGGCCTAGGTCACCTCTGGTGAGCAGCAGGGCTGAGAGTTGAACTCAGGGCCTCCGATTCTGAGTCCAGTGCTCTTCTTCCAATACCACACTGCCTCAGCCCGCTGTGGGACCCTACTGTGCCCGGTCACAGCTGTGGCCATTCCAGGACATGGGGACAAACCACCCCAAACAGCCAGGTGCCTTTGAGCCTTCTCATTCTCAGCGTGCGTTTGCTTCTCTGGTCCTCCCCGAGGTGCGACGACTTCCCCAGCCTGTGCTCTCAGCTGGTTCCCTCTTCTCAAGTTCCCCACTGGGCTGAAGAAGGAGGTGGATGCTCAGTGGGACCAGTGTTGCAGTGTGTAGCGAGGGCAGTTTCCCCTGGGGCCTTCAAGCCTGTGAGTCCTGGCTGATGGCCTAGCAGGAATGGAAGGCATAGTGCCTGAGGACAGGGCCACTTCCTGTCCTTCACTGCTCACAGGGGCAGCTGCAAGCTGGAGCCCAGCTCCCAGAGTGAGCAGGACTCTGTGGTGCAAGCTCTGAGCCTCCCTGCCTGCCTGCCAGTGGGGACAGTTTCCTGTGATCAGAAAGCTGGCAGCTCCCTTCCCTCTGCCCCCAGGCTCAGGTGGGCACAGGCAGGGTGGGGACCCCCCTAATAGCCGAGGAGAGAGTCTAGATTTGGACCTAGTTTCCTCTGGGGGTCTCGGGACTCAACCTGCTGCCTGTTCTGTCCGTGGAGTCACTGCTGCTCTCTCCTTTCCCACTTTTCTCCTGGGCCTAGACACAGCCAGGACTTGCAGCATGGGGGTGAGAAGCGGGGGCTCTGCTGTCCTTGGGCTCACATAGGAAACCAAAGCGCACAGGGCGGCACTGTCAGTCTTCCTTGTCCACTGAATCCATCAGCATTTGGCCAAAAAGAAAGAAAGGGCTTACCTTGTGTGGGTGACTCCACCTCCACTCTGCGTCCCCTGTACCCTTTTCTGCCCCAGGGTGGATGCCGGGCTGGGCAGAGCCACCTGCAGCTGCCTCAGTTACTCAGGATCAGTCTGATCTAAAGCGGGATGTTTTCTGAGCCCTTGCATTGGGACAGCCAGTGTTTCCGGGTCCCACAGAGGAGGGGCCACTAATTTCCAGCAAGGCACACTCCTGCCTGGACCTGCAGAGATTGGTAGCCCCAACAGTAGTGTTGGTGGGAAGAGCAGCTCCAAAAATCTCTTACCAGGCATTTGATTACAAATGCCCACTGCCCAGCATCCAGATGGAAAGTTACCAGGATTCTGCCACATTTGTATTTTTCTCTATGTGTGAATGTTTTTCAAGTTTAAAAGTAAATTGCAGACATCTTGAGACTTGCCCTTAGATACTTCTGCCCTCCTCCCCTAAGAGGTGGGGCCTGAGCCACAGCTGAGACAAACGACAGGGGTTTCCTGGCAGCATCTCCTGCTCCCCAATAACTCGCCTGGGTTTGCAATTGGATTCAACCAAGGTGCACACTTTGCATTTTGTAACTGTCTTTTAAAAATCTCTGAATGGTAAAAACTCTTCTCTCTGCCCATCTGATTTAAAAAAGACAATGCTTGTGAGGCCGGCAGGCCTGCTGTACTTAGACATCTCACATTCCAAATGTCTGTTTCCTCCTGGGGGCATTATCATTTGACCAGTTTCTTAATCCCTGTATTCTCAAAGGTGATTTTGCTGATCACACATATGAGGCAGTTCCTTCCCTCCTGTGTGGCACCTCCACTGTCACCTGTAGGAAGTGCCAAACCAGCAGAGGTCCTGGGTGGGAGCTGCAGGAGCTCAGGGGAGGGGACAGGGAGAGGCAGTATCACTCTGGGCCTGGGTGGAAAGGAGGAGGATGCAGAAGAGGGCAGGCAGAGGGTGGGGGACTGGCAGAGGGTTGGGCACTGGGTCTGTCGGGAGGAGACATCTCTGGCTCGGGAGCCTGGCTGCCCTCTGACCCTGGGCACAGGCTGCAGGGTGTGGGACCCAGCATACCCCACCGTCTCTGTTTTGTGGTCCTGGGGTTTCCTTTTCGTGGAGGCCTGTGGTCTGTGTGCACTGAAGCAGAGCCGGGTCTCTGGCTTGTGTCACGAAGGGCCTGGATGGGGAAGTACCTCCCCCAGCTATGGTGTCAGGAGAAGAGCACTGGGCCAGAGGCAGGAACTGTGAATTTTTGTCCCACCTGGGTACATTTGGTGGCTGCGTGACAGTCTTCCTCCCAGGGCCTCAGTTTCCCCACTTGTAGAATGAGTGGGCGGGGTCTAGAGCAGGGGTTTGAAAATGTCCAGGTAGGAAGTAGCTTGCTCTATTGAAGTGAAGATGGGGGTCCCGGCTCACCCCCAGGCCTTTTTCCTGGTGATGCTGTGTTCCCACTTGGCCAGCTCTGGGCTGGACACCTCACCAGCCCAGAGGGGCCGGCGGTTTTTAGCTCCCTTGGGAGACAGGTGTGGGCTTTGTGTGCAGCCATGCCAAGGGCGAGAAGGAGACTTCAGCTGAGTTTCGATCCAAGAACTTCATCCCTTTTGCTACCCCTCCTCTCCGGAGGAGGAGGAAGGTGGAGAAGGCCTCCGATGGCTGAGCTAGCTTTTCTTGCTGGCAAGAGGGCTCCTTTTGTAACTTGTGCATGAAATTCATGTGGCTTCCTGGGGAGAGGAGAGGGCTGACCAGATGGGTGGGGTACAGGGGAGTAGGAGGAGCTCCTTCCCTGGTGGGGTGAGGCTGAGGAGGGGGTGCCACCCGGCTCACCTGACAGCTCTTGAACCAGCCCTTTCGGGCTGTGTTAAAAGTGGGAACCTTCCTCCATTAATGTACAATCTTGAACTAACTGCTAATAAAGTGGGGTTCTGTTTGTACACACTGGTCCTGTCTGTCTCTCTGACCTTTTTGCAAAGCCTGCAAGTTGAGGTATTTGCATACATGGCCAAAGTCTACCTAACACACATGTACACACACACACACACACACACATGCGCGCACACATGTGTGCAGTGTTGGCCAAGCCTTCACTGGGTTATAGATCAAAGCCTTTTGAGACACAGCAGAGGACAGGGCAGCCATGTGGGGTCTCTCAGGTGACCAGGAGCCTTTGGCCGCGCTGGACTGTTGGAAATGCTGAGGAGAGGACTCCGAGGTGAGGGCCATTTCTGCCTCAGTGTGTTACCGTGCCTGAGGACATGTCATCATACCTTTGATCCTCAGTTTCCCTCATCTTCCGGAGGTATGGAGGGTGTTGGACTCAGAGGCCTCACCTAAAGAATTTTCTAGGCAGAATTACCCTTGTGAATTCAGTGATAAGGAGAATTCAGTGGTCAAATGACACTATGAGGAAATAGACATCCGGAATGTGGGACATCTAGTGACAGCAGGCCTGCCAGCATCTCAGACACTCATTTTGGGAAACGCAGATCCCAGGCCCTGCTCGAAGACATACAACCCTACAGATGCTGGTGGGCCTTTAGGACGCTCGCTAGTCTGTTAAGGCCCCACTTCGGGGTGCCTTGGATCAGTTTTCATGGGTTCTAATTAATGCAGAGTCTCACTGTTCCAGAAAACTTTGGGAAAAAGTAAGTGACTTGCCAGGCTTCCCAGCCTCATTAAGGGCCAGACTCAGGGTTGCCTGGGAAGGAACAGAGCCTGGCCGGGCAGAGAGGCCCTGGCCCATGGTCTGGGCCTGTCCTGAGAATCCCCTTGGGAAGCTCTAAAAATGCACACTTCTGTGCTCACCTCCCAGCCACTCATTGAGAACTGAGAAAGCACCCAGCAATGAGCACTGAACAAATTCTGATCCACGGGAAGGGAGCCCTGACTCTGGCTGCTAAGTGTGACCCAGAGCCTGTCCTATGCAGAGAGCTCCTGAGGGGTGAGGACAGGTGTGCTGGGGACACTGCTGGGCTGCCTTGGTTCCCAACACCCAACGGAGGGGACCAAGGGGTCCAGGCGGACGCCCAGAAATGCTGGTCCCTACAGCAGACCAGACCCCTCTTTGGGGTCCTGGTATAGGTCAGCGTGGCATTGCCAACAAGAATGGAGCTGGAGGCTGCATAACAGGAGCAGGCCCAGGAGACATGAGGCAGAACTGGCACCTGTGCCAGTCTTGGGGCCAGAGCACACTGAGTTTAAAGACAGCTGAGATTCTTTTTGTAAGTCACTTAATAGAAAAGCAGGTGAAGGATGAGGCTGACCAGCTCAGCAACCCCTTGTCTCCCATCTTACCCTGGAGTCCAAAGAGTCCTTGAAACACTGTAAAAACCCAGCCCAGCAGCCTGCAGAGCTCCTAGTAGGTTTAGTGAAGAAAAGCCTGTTCCTGGTCAGAGTCCACTCAGGGAGTCTGGGCGCAGGATGAATCAGGCTTCCAGGGGCAGGCAGTTTCCTTGGTGATGTTGGGGAGCATTGCAGAAGGCAGAGTGTTTCAGAACAGCAGAACGCTACTATCAACCTAGATGTCCATCAAGAGGACATCAGCTGGATATCCTCCTGAGTCCACTCACTCGAACATGTTTAAGCAGTAAAAATGATGAGCTCAATCTCTAAGTCCTCCCAGGGAAATTTCTACAACGTTGATCTGTACAGTGACCATTTATGGAAAGAGAACACTACATGCTATTTTTCCTGGGGGTTTAAATGTGTATCTCACACCAGACTAGTAGCAGAGGTTACTTCTCGAAGAGGGAGAGGGGTTTGGAAAAGGGAAAGTTTTCAGAGGGAATTTTAGTCTTGGCTGAAACTATTGTTTTGTTTTTTGTATTTTGTGACAAGGTCTCTCTATGTAATCCAGTCTGGCCTTGAACTCCCTATGTAGCCTAGGCTGCCCTCACAGTCACAGTCATCCTCCTGCCTCAGCCTCCTGAGTGCTGAAACATTTTTTTTTTTGGTACCGGGGATTGATCTCACAACCTTGTGCTTGTGAGGCAGGCACAGTGCCACTGAGCTAAATCCCCAGCCCTGAAACATCTTTTTTAAAAACCAGGGTAAAGGCCAGGGATTTAACTCAGTGGTTCCTCTGCCTGCCTCACAAGTGCAAGGTCCTGAGTTTGGTCCCCGGTACCAAAAAACCAAAACCAAAACCAGGGTGATATACTCATGTATCATTTGTGGAATAAAAGGTCTTTTTTATTTTCAAGGTCTTAATACAAACTGACAGAGCAGAAGCGTGTGGCGGGGTGGGGTTGGGGCTTCTGTCAGGATGACGCCAGAAAGCCAACGCTGGTGTCTTTGCCTTGTCACATTTATCCTGAGCTAAGGTTCATGTGACCACAGGCGTCTTAGCCCCTCTCTGGCCTTGGGCTTAGCTTCACCGTGCTCATGGATGTGTCCCTTAGTGTCAGTGTCTGGGACCCTGGGACAAACTGACACCCTGCAATGATGTCCCCAGGACCCAGCCTGACACCTGTGAAACTGCTGACAAAAATACACAGTTTGAATCCCACGCAGAGGAAATTGTAGGCGCAGCTATATTGGGATATTTTCCCAGATACGTGGCCTGAACTCTAACAATCTCAAGGTCGTGGAAGATGAGGCAAAGCCGAGAAATGCTTCAGGCATAGAGGATATTAGACCTGGTATTCTTGTGCTGTGTATGACCCTGGAGCAGCAAGCACCGGAAACAGTAATGAAGGATGCCTTAGGGACGCCTGGCAGTGTGTGAATGTGGGCTGTGTGCATTAGATAACAGTATTCTCTCAAGGTTAAATTTCCTGATTTTGATTAATGTGCTGTTATATAAGAATGTATCATTGTTCTTTTGTGTTTGTTTTTGTTTTGAGACAGACTCTGGCTACTTTAGTTCAGGCTGGCCTTGCATTCATTACAGCATGCCCTTGAACTTGAGGTTGTTTCTCCTGCCTCAGCCTCCCAAGTGCTGGGATTAGAGGTGTGCACCACCATGCCTGGCTGTTCATTGTTCTTAAGAAGTACAAATATTTAGAGGAAACTGGGAAGAAATGGAGCTGAATTTGGCCTTACCCTTTCCCTAGTGGGTCACGTTGGTACTTATCAGGTACACTCCAGAGTATGTCCACCAGGGGGAACCATCACCCCAGGCCCGGGCTAGTCAGTGTGCTCCGCCTTGCCCAAGATGGCTTGAGGTTAATCTTGGTGAAGTAATATTGTACTAAGCATCAATACAATAAATAAGCACCCGTAAATAAAGAGACTCTCCGTGTCGGTGAGGCACTCTGCTTCTCAAGGGCCATCTCTTCATCCCCGTGACAACCGTCCACAGCCAGTATTTTCACCATTCCCACTGCACGGACATCGTATAACCCCAAGCATCACAGGTGGGAAGCCATTGGTCCTTGAGGCTGCACAGCCTGAATTCCTCTGAGTCTTACCTCAACCCCTGATCTGGGAATAAGCCCTGGCTGTGGGGGCTTAGCTGTGTGACATCCCTGAGGCAGAGGAGGGGCTTCACTGAGGGGACTCTGTCCTCTGGGGTGGACTTAGGGACTGAAAAGTGTGTGTCCATAAATCTAAAGCAAACCCCCAAAAGTGCAACGGAGCATAGAGTGAGACATAGCTCTGCTCCAGCCTCAGACCATTGTTCCCCAGCTCCTGCCAGAGGAAACCACCACCACCGGCCTTTGGGGGCTCTGTTCGGAATCACTTTACACACACCACTGGCTGAGTACATGCACACCCAGCTGGTTTGGGCCTGGTGTGCTGTTTCTGCACCTTGCTACTCCACAGGAGCCTCTGGGTGCCCTGTGGAGGGTCATTTGCTGCTCTGTGTATCTGCAGGTGGAGGGAATCTGCCCAGGTACTGGGGCGGGAGGCTCTGCTCTGCGATACTTTTCCTGGGGGGAGGGAGAGGCTCCGGCCTCTGTCCTATCCTGGGGTCCTCGCCCCTTTGGGAAGGCATGAGCTGAGCAGCACGTTTATCAAGAGTGCAGGGGAAGGTCTGCTCTCAGATTGGGCTCATGTTGGTCCTCAGACAGGTCCTCGTGTCACTGAGCCTCAGACTCCCCTCTTGTGCAGTGAGAGTGGTAAGAGGACCCAGGGGACAGGGTGTTGGAAGAGTAAGGAGACAGTGCCTGGAAAGCCCTCAGCAGGAGCCCGAGTGCCGTGTGCCATGAGTGCTCTTTAAAGTCTGCTTTTCGAACTCGCACTTTGTATATCTAGTAGGTTTGGGAGTTACATTTCTTCCCCTATATCACTGGGGTTAAGGGCATGTGATTACTAAACCACTACATATGTGATTAGTTTGGCACTGCCCTAATCCCCCACAGTCTGAATAAAGTCTGCTCTGGCTCCTGCTGTCCCCCTCAGCAGCCCAGGATCTGAGCCTGAGTGGGGTGGAGCTACCACCTTTGTCCTGAGGCTGAAGAGGCCACCCAGGCTGGAAGCTCTTCACCTTTGATGGTTCTCCCAGACCCTTGAGCTGGAAGTGGCAACCTGGGACACCAGAAGAACCTGCAATACACACAGAATGAAAGGTCCAGGAGAGACTGCTGCAAACAGTGGAGCACCAGCCTACAAACCCGGAGAGATGCGCAGACTACCAAAGCTGACTCAAGGAACAGAAAATCTGTGTAGACCTGTACCAAGTCAGGACAGCTTCACTGGCTTCACTGGTGAACTCTTAAATTTAACATTTAAAGAAGCACCAATCCTCCTCAAACTCATACAAAATATTTGACGAGGTGAGAACACTTCTTAAATCATTCTGTGAGGCCAACACTTCTGTTATTAAGGCTAGACAAAGACTTTACAAGAAAAGAAAACCATAAGCTGGATGTGGTGGCCTGCACCTATAATCCCAGGATTTAGGAGGCTAAGGCAGCAGGACCACAAGTTCAAGACCAGATTAATGTATATAATGAGTTTGAGGCCAACGTGGGACACATAGCCCCTGTAT